CTAACCTTCTGTTAATAGCCTAATATCAATACATTATCTGCCAGCATCAGTCTGTCTTTGGCGCCCTACTTCAGGATGCAGCGTCCAATAAAAGAGCTGCTCTCCAATCTGCTCGTCCATCCATCCCTCTGTCCATCTGCGGACAGCAGAGGAGGAGGCGTGAATGGGCTGTATTTAAATCTCGCTCACAGATTACGTTGCTCCCCAGATGGCTCGTGCTGGACGCACAGATCCCGGCGCTTCTCTGTGAAGTGTGTCAAACAGGTTTAATTGCTGCTGCCGCTCCGTGTCAGGGGCAGATGGAGGCCGAACAATGACACAGGAACTGACTCTGCCTCGACACACAAAGGGAGAAACAGGGAGAGGACGATGATGGGACCAGGAGAATTAATCTGCACCGTCTGCGGCCATCGGCTCACTGCAGCCCATTTAAATTTCCCAACAATAGAAGACAGCAGCTTCCAGAGAAACCTCCCACAGCTTCAGACTGTAATTATGCTTTCAGACACCTGGTTTGGTGCATCCTGAACGAGATGCAAAAGATATAAAATGCGGGTAGCATCGTGGTCTGGGCCTCTTCTGTTACCTTTAATCAGTTTAATGAAGGGATGCAGAAACCCGGTTTCAGTGCGTTCATGTTGCAGTGAACGAGGACCTGTTTGCTATTGGGCCAGCTGCTGGAAACTGGTACTTTAAAGGAAAAAAAAAAAATTTCCTTTCCCTTTGCAGCTGTGTGCTGCGTGGCGCGCTGTGTGGGGTCAGGCTGTTACACATGCTCCCATCTTCATCCTTACTGCTCTCAATAAATCATATAACGGCAGAAACAAAAACAGTTTCTGTCATTTCATCAGAGAGCCATTGTTGTTAACAAACGCAGGGTCATTTCAAAAATACCTTCCCTGGGCTGCATCATGGCAAAGATATCTCCATCCAGGGTTTAACTGGCCTCTCACCCCGTGACTGCTGGAGGTGGACGTCAAAGACTCTGTTTAGATGGCTGTGAGCAAAGTGATGCTCAGTGTTTATCATAAAAAGCCAGATTCTGCTCTCATTTAAGAGCCATCTGCAGGTTCTGAGGATCTTCTCTGGTAAAACAGCCTCTCCTGCAGCACCTTAACCCTCTGGAAGAGGCTGATCTTAATTCTCAGCCTGTCGGCTCAATAGTAGGGGAGGGGTCAGACGTCCCCCAGCGGGTCCCCAAGAAACACTACAGATAATTGGTTCCAGGTTAACAAATCAATAATTCAACGCAGTTTGAATTTTTTAAGCACATTTAAGTGATGAACATTTCTGACCAGTGAAGGTTAAACAGAAAACTGGGTGAGACAACAGGAAGCAGGCGGGAGTCGGGTGTGAAGAGGACGGGAGCGGGGCCGACCCCGAGGCTCCATCAATCAGATCATTTACAGCCCTGCCTTGGTATGCATCATCTATGTTATTAAAAGCAATAAAATAAAACTAGAATGCAGTTGATTTACAGTAAAAGCATCATGCAGTTTATACTGCAGGTTCCAACTGAAACAGCAACATTTTATGAATATATAAAATGTACAAAAACAGGCATAATTAGATGAAATAACGAGTA